TATGGCAGTATTTCAAGACAATATCCTCTCGTGATTGATTTGGGACACCTTCATTAGTTCCATTTCCGACAAAGATATATGTGCTATACTATACCTAGTTTGTGATTGTGCATTAACCTTGCAATTATAATAGACAGTCAGAATCAGTAAAAATCCTCACCTCCTCTTAATTAATCAGAATTTTGTACTAAATTAATGTGTAAAAAAATGTGTCAAGATTTTTTTTGTGTACGTAGGTGATGGTATGTGTGTGTGTGGCAGCAGTAGGTGCTGCCGCACAGTCGGCGGTGTTGGCCAAGTTGGGGCAGCCAGAGCTGCAATGGATGAAGATATGCAACATGTATGACGAGTTCTGCAACCAAGTTGGGGAGGAATTGCCAGCGCTCTATTAGTCAGTCTAAGCACAGTGCTGCTCTCTTGTGTGTCTGCTTTCAATCTCTTCCGCTTGTACGGTGGCAACAAAAACAAGACCGCCTCTGCCAGCAGTTGGTAGGCCGGGCAGCTCTGTGAGTAGGAACCACCAAGAGTCCGAAACCAACCAGTTGCATGTAACTAAAAGAACTAGTCTCCTTTGAATTTTGCAATAAAATTGAGAGCTAGCCAGGCTCTTGTACATGCAATTGTTTTTGTTGATGAAATTGAATTATACTCCGGTTTTGGAGGCTTATTAGTATTTGCAAGGTTTAAAATATTGAAAACGAAGCACCCTTCCTTTTCATCCTTTGATCTTGTAACTGAGAGGTTACAGATTCCTTAGACCTCTAATTCCCAAGTTAACCCCTAGAGACCTAGACCTTCTTCAGTCACCGTAGAGATTTTTATTTTTATTTTTTAAAAAGGAACTAGCTGGTTGCTTCACCACCGCATTCCACCTTCCGTGAGCCGGGAAGATTCATAGAGGAATTTCAGCCTCAATTTGGACACCATTATGCGTTTCACTAGCGTCAGGAATCGAACACAAGATGTATCATGTGAAATACAGATCTTGAATTTGTCCCCAACCACGGAGTGATGTCACCATAGAGATTAGAGACAGCTCCCCAATTCCTATAAAATTACAAAAATTAAAATTCACTAATCTACAAGGAACCAAAAACAAGAAGAAGTTATGATTAATGATGGACTTTTCTTATATTGGAGCTGCTGCTGCTATCATTTGCTCTCCCCTCGTCATAAAAAGCCCAAAGCAAAGGAATTGTTTGATATATTTTTCTTTTTCAATTTTTGGTGAACAAATGAAAAGGTCAAGAAGCAACGGAGACGGGTGGTAAACAATTTTTAGGCACACCATGATCCACAATTAACATCACTAATATTATTCTCGACTTCATAGAACTAACTAGTTAATTTAGAATTTTCAATTAAATTATTGATACACAAGAAGTTGCTTATTTGGGAAAAACACTTGGCCCTTCAAACGGTATTAGACTTGTTATGATTTATGATTTATGATTTCCCATGCTTTAATCAATTTCAAATAATGTGAGAGGAAGTCATGAATCGAAGTAATTTCAATTCTGATTAATGATCAATTTCTTCTTATGCAGTTGTGCTGCTGCAAAATATAAAGAAGCGTCCAATAATCCACTACTTCCTCTTGTATCCGCAGCCTTCTCTTTTCTGCATGCCATTCCATTCCAAAGGCTCCAAAACAAAACATATATACATCCTCATATATAGAGAGAGAAATGTTATACACGTTGGTGTATTTGTCTCTGTCATGCATTATTGTTCACACCGCCCCTACATTCTTCCCAACAGAGGCCAGGAGTGAATCATTGAACAAAAGAGCAAAGGAAAAGCAATTTATTCCTCCAAACACACCCTTCCATTTGCTAGTTTTAACATTTTCCCATGGACTTTTCTCCAAACCCCCTTTTCTTCTTTAGCAATGCAGATGCCTATCTGTCTCTTTCCTCATACACTAATAAAATAAACCCACAGACCAACTAACTCCCTTAGATTTGATCACACGACCATTTTCCTTCTGGACTTTGTTGCTTCTCTGCCGATCCTCATTTCTTTTCAAATCACTCAGAATTTCATCGAACGACTCGATCCCAATCATCACTCCACTTATTAATAAAAAAAACTGCTTATAACTTATATGAAGCAGATTTATAGATACATATATGTTGTCACTGTCCTATGTATAGACGAACACGAAGCCTAGCTCCTATATACTGTCTAACAGTGAAAATAATGGAGAGAGAAAGCCATGATGCCAAAGGCACCATTCATTCCTCCTCGGTTGCTCTATTGCAGAAAAGGTTTAGAGAGCTGCAGAGAGTGAAGGCAATGAGGGAGGAGAGAGATAGATTGAGAATGCTAGCTGAACCAAAGCATAATAAGCAGTTGATGATGGTCGATAGCAATCCCACCAGCATGCATTACTAGCAGGCAAGGGCAAGGTTGTTCTTCCACCACCACCACCCAGATCATCATCATCTTGCCCTTCCACATGACGATCATCGGTCATCATCACCATCCGGCAGAGTTTCTCCGTTCTTGTGGCCACTATTAATGAGCAAGCATGAGGAGGACTACTACATATGTAGGAGCATCAATGAGACCCCGCTGTTGATCAACTTATTGCCCTCAGTCACAGCAGAAAACCCTAATTCGTTAGACAGTACTACTACTAGTTGTTCGAATCAATTCGAAGATTCCGATTGTAACTCTGATGTCAGTGATGTGGATACTTCCCTTCATCTGTAGTAAACGGGCTCATACTTGTTCTGATGTAATCATGCCATTGGGACGATATTATCCAAGGCTTCATTGGTTTTAATAAACCTGCGTTGTAGGTCCATTGGTTTAGTAAACCCATCTTGCTGGTATAAGCAATATCTGGTGTAAGTCTCTGCTAATCAACATGTGTCATATGTTCAATAAACCTGGGGCTATAACACTATAGTATATACATATGATGTAGGTTCATTAGCTCTAATAAACCTAAGCTTTAGGTAAAAAGAAGTTGTGAACAACGTACCAATGTGACTGGGGAGAGAAGGGTGTTTCAATAGACCATTTTCTTACTCAAGACGAACCCCAATGGAGGATCACAGCAAAAGAGATGAAGAAGATGAAAGATAATCACAATAAATCCCAATAGCATGGCCTGATACGGATTAGAATATAACAATTATCTTGGTGTCAAGTGTGTTAACAATGCATTCATGCACGGTAAATTTTGTTCATTATTCGGTGTAATACCAAATTTAACATCACCCATGGAATGGAAGTGAAGCTAGCCTGTCCATCACAAGACTAATGTGACTGCATATATATGCACTTGGCATGCCTATAGCACTTGGTAATGGCATATATGAACACATTCGATCCAACTATACTTAAAAAAAGTTATTATTATTAAGTGAAGAGAAAAAGGATTCAAAACTTATTACAAAATTATAAAATAAAATAAAAAAAAGTTTCAAACCCGAAACACATAAGGAAGTTTCTACTTGAGATCATTCGATCTAGTTATATATCAAAGGCTATCTGTCATCAGAAAGAAAATAATACCCCCTTTGTTTTTTTTTTTTTTTCTTTTGAACTTTTTGTTTCAATTGCAATTGCCAAATTTTCTTCAATAACTAAAATGCCAAAGACCCAATACCTCAGGTTGGGTGGAGGTGGCATCAAAGCAAAATGAACTTTAGGTGTACAGTTTCATCTTAAAAAATTTCGGTGCAATTAAGAGTGAACCACTTATATTTAAATATTAAATTATTGTATTTCTCTAATATGAGATTCTCTTTACATCCTACTTGGCTTGGATCGAGTAAACCTTTACACCAACAATAACAATTGCAGCCCTCTAAACGAGAATCAAATTGACACCCTTAGTTATGATCATTATATTTGTTTTTGAACAGAAAAAAATTATGATCCTCAGTTGGGTTCTTATTTAAGTTTATTCCGAGTCACACATTTGCTTGCAACCCTTCTTATTTGCATGTGCATGCCATTTACCCAAACACAATGCAAATGGATAAGTATAGAGTATAGAAACTTTAATTGCACGCCTTGTCTAGATTAATTAATGTTTATTTTTCATCATCTTTCGATCTTTGGAGACTTGGAGTTTGGGGCTTCGAAATTTGGAAATAAACAATAGAGCGAGCCAGCTAGGGGACCCTTTGTGCTGCATAAAAGAACCATCCAATCCAGTCCACCTCCTTTAGCAGCCGCAGCTTTCGTTTCTGCATGCCATTCCATTCCAAATACTCCAACACAGAACATATATCGAGAGAAGAATGTTGGTACGTTTGTCTCTATATAAATGAAATATACATACATATATATATATATATACTGTGTGATTTTTCATATGAACATGGTGATTTCTCTTCAACTGCAAATTAAAGTTTCACATAATATAACGTAAGTTGTTAAAACCAAAAAAAATAATTTATGTGTACATATTAAACTGTGAGTTATCTATAAGGAAGGACTCAAGTCCCACCTAACATATATAGGACAAGGAATTTGATAATGTAAAGAAGGAACAAAGAGCCACCAAAACAATAAAAAAGTTCCATCATCTTCAAGGGCTAAACCTAAAAAGGGCTTTCAGTTGACAGGCTATCATCCAACCTATTATTCCTCCAAACACCTCCCTTCCATGTGCTTGTTTGTTTCTATGTCACTCTCATTGGAATTTTCTCCATACCCTTTTCTCCTTTAGCAATGCCTTTTCCTCTCCCCCGACATACACTAGTTAAAGTAAACAAACGAAATTCCTTTTCTTTTTGGACTTTGCTGCTTGGCTGCCTAATCTCATTCCTAAATTACTCAAATCACTTTAAAATTTCACCCCATCAACTTAATCCACTTATTAGATTACTTAACTGAAGCACGCAATCTTATAAAACATGCATGCATCATGCCTGTAACGATCCTCAAATCCTACACACACACACACACATAAAAGCTTAGAGGCCACTTCCCACAACCCTAATTCTGAACCTAAAGTATACCTCTTTTCTGATCAAATGGATAGGGAAAGCCACGAAACGACTGTCGTTCATTCCTCCATAGCTCTACTGCAAGAAAGGTTTAGAGAGCTGCAGAAAGTGAAGGCCATGAGAGAGGAGAGAGAGATTTCGAGAATGCTAGCTCTCTCCACTGACTCCGAACCAAAGCAGTTCACGGCGATGGATAGAAATCCCACCATGCTAAATCTTTTCCACTTTGATCATATTGTCCATGGTCGCAGGACGTCAGCATCCGGAGGTTCTCTGTCCCTGTGGCCGACATTGCAGAGCAAGCATGTGGACTGTCCGCAAAGGAAAACTGAGACGCTGCTTTTGATCAACTTATGGCCAACTTTTACAGACGACACCTCGTTAAAAATCTGTTCAAACAAATTTGAAGACTCGATTCCTAATTCTGGCTCTGATGTAGATACTTCTCTTCATCTGTAAACCAACTTATACTTCCTCCAGTATTAGTAACCGTAGTATTACTATTAGATGACTTACTGTATTAGGAATACTGCTAACTACGCTTCTACGGTTGCATAGTGCGTATTTTCTTCATGCACCATATATCAACATTCTTTGAACTTGGATTTTGATGTATTTCACATGCTCGTACATACTAATGATTACATGATATCAAAATGGGGGAAGAAATTCACGAAAGTGATTCCACACATCAATTTTCTGTTTTGCATACTCGTGTTTATTTAAACCTTTGAATTGAACAAACTAAATAAAAAAGAAGCATGTGCAGAAAGAGAAAAAGAACAGGTGTCCAAAAAGACAAGAATTGCAGAAATTATTTCCCAAACAAAGTGAGCGCGGATAAAAAATGGATACACAATGGGAAGCAAGATATATGTGTACTTAAATCAATATGAAAAAATTATATGGTTTCTTACAACCGCATGTAATTGATTTTTTCTATTAAGGTATGTTTCCTATACACATTAGTTAGGGAAAAACTGGAACAAAATATTAGTTCTCTACATAAAAAATTTGACGACTCCCAGAAGATGACGAGCAACTGTACTCAAATGGACCGTCACGGGATGTTCGCATGTTGTGGAGGAAACTGGCGTTCGGAAGGTGGCATTTACCAATTGTGCAATTGAGAAGTTAGGCTTTTCACGAAACGGTGGTACTCTCTATGAAAGAGTAGCTTAGCTTTCTCTGAGCCAGGATGCTCGAGCCACTCGTCGTATAAGTTTTGCACCAAAGGATTTCCAAGGGGATCAGCTACCAAGACCTGTATAATATTAAAGGATTAGCATTCCAAGCCAAAAAAAAAACATCACTATTCCCCAGGCCAACGATAAATAACAAAATAACTGACGATAAGTCCAACTCTTACGTTTTCCATATAAGCTGCTAGTAATAACTGAATCAACTCCTTTCCGGATTGTTCAGGCTGTGGCTTAATCTGTCCTCCACCATTTAAGCAACCTGTTTAGTTCCAGTTAGTATTACTTCCAAAATCCCAAATCCACGTAATGGATAGTCAACGTATTAAAACACATATCTATTTGAAGGATTAAAAAGTAGAAAATTTTCCAACCACCAAAAATACTGGAAGGGCATGCCATGATCTCTAGAAAAGGATAATCGAAATTTCCAATTTTGATTTTCCTGACAACGTTTTGCAGGTTCCGGAAGCCAACACAGTGAAAATTTCAATATAGTCTTCCCATCCACCTAAACGAGAGGCCATCAATACTCTACATAAAAATGAACAGAAAATGCTAATACAAGGAATTAGCCCCAAGATTTTCCAACGATACGCACTACAAGTACAATACGGATGCAAAATTGACGAAGCTTGAGTTACAATTACAAAAAAGCTACGCTACAAATGTGTGAGCAGAACTAAAAGAAAAACGTGATTTACTTCCAAAGTCACTTCCTGGAAGGCTGAATTTTTAACTGTTTTGAAATCAATAGGGCCCTTGACTTCTCTTCCAAAGAGCACTTCAGCAGCATAGCTGAATATTGTCTCCGCATAACCCCCTGAGCTTCCATGGACACCAAAAAGACTCCCTTCATTAAAATTTGTCAACCTGGCAGAACAACGTATTTCTTAGAATAATCAAAGCAGATAGAAGGAGCCCTTATTGAAACTTTTACAGCTCTTACATGTTATCTAGAGGGGACTCTTCTAAGCCTTTGAAATCTACTCCTTTCAACTGCAACCACCAAAACAAAGAAAGAAAGCAAAGAGTGGATATCAAGTTAGCACTATTTGGAAATCTCAAGTTGTAACCACTAAAGCAGAGATGGTAATTAGTATTTCTCACCTGTATCAGTTCGAAAACTTCCCCGGATGTCAACACCGAGTCTACCTCTGTAACCCTTAGACCTTCATTCTCATTATTTTCAGATTGATCAACTTCAAAAACGAAGTCATCACGTGGAGCCTCAAGCTTTATATCATAACAAGGCATCACAGTTACATGGTAAACATCAGCTGTCCTGTCAAGTGAAATCATTCAGGGATATGTAAACAGTATAATCGTTCAAGTTCACCCACAGAAAGTTATATACCTAAAATTTTCAACACTAAATAAGCCCAAGGCAGAACAATAATCAGAGATGGACTGAACAAGTCTGCCTATGATCCAAGAACATTGGGTATGTCATAAACGTTAACAGAAAATGGTGCTAACATAAGCTAGGATCTTGCAGAAATTTGTTAATTTCCATTGTACTCGATAAGTTTCTAAGAAAAATAGGATCTACGTCTTCCAATAGATGTGCTATCAAATGGTATACAATAATCTTGGGGAAAAAAAAGAGGGAGGAACAAAAATATTTTGACATGCATAACAAGTAATTACACACAAGAATTTCATCACTGATATAGAATGGTCCTACAAAGCACGCTATGTCAACAACCGAAATTTCATAAATCATACATACACATTATCGAACAGCAATGATTAAAACTGTTATGAATTATCAATTGACAAGTGCACAGCAGAAATTATTCACATCACAATTATCGGCCAGAAAAAGAAACAAGGGACACAAAACATACCTTAGACCCATTTTTTGGCATACATGAGTTTTTTTAAACAATAACTCCAATTGTTTGCTGGGGACTCTTCATTGATGAAATATAAGGCAGAACATAGGATCCAAGTTGTTTTTCAGCATAGCATATCCAACCTGCAATAAACGTAGCTATTTTATAGTGCATCGTAAAAACAATTTGCCAAATTTCTTTAATAAAAAAAAACCAAAATGTTAAACCCTGCTGCAAATAAGTACCAAACTATTATATTTAACCAAATAAAAACCCTGCTGCAAATTAGTACCAAACTATTATAGGCTAAGATATATACACCTGGACATGCTGATGAAATCATGGGCAACGAAGATTGACACCTTCCACCATCAGATGACCGGCTTTGTTTGTACCTTGTGATGAACTCGTTACAAGATTCAACAATTGTTAAATCTCGACTGCAACTTGTGTCCAATACAGCCTTTACACCCAAGGACTTAAAAAAAGTTGTGAGCTTCCTACAGACCTGGAAAATTGAAATTAACTTCCGACGTTAAAATCCAATGACAAAAGGTGTGCTCGACTATCTTATTGAATACATCAATACTGAAAAGTTACTGGGATTCTATTAGAAACAAGTTGAAATAATCTAGCTCACCTGAAGTGGTGAAATTCCAAATTAACGGCAAGGGACGCTCTTGATTGGGGAGATAGGGAGACAATGACAGCTTTTCCTTTGTCAAGATTACGAAGAAACTCATCCAAACTTTGCTTCTCCAGCATAACTGTCTCCGCTGATGTTACACAACCACTGCAAAGAACCCAAAAGCATAGATATTATCCCTTCTGCATGGGGTCATATGAATCCTAACTCGGTTATCTAGCTGGTAGTTCAGAAAGTTTAAGCCGGCTATTCTATCTTTACAGTACCCAGCTTTGCACAACAGATCAATATACCAATTATATGCCCGCAATTAATTTTCTGTGGAAATTTGAGAGGGTAATATCGTTGCACGCATATATTGATAGTAAAACGTGGGCAAAACAGCAAGTCGACACACCAATTCGAAAGAAAAATGAAATTTAAATAAAAGATTAAAACTTGAACTTCGTAGCATCACAAAATAAGAAACCTAATAAGCATGTGTATGAAAGATGATTTACCTGCATGCCTAGCAATCTTTGGGTGAAATTTTAACTGGTTCTGTTTTCACTTGCTTGCTAGAAGTTGAAACCTTCACACCAAAAAAATTACCAAAACGCTTAAACATTACTAATTCAGCTCCAATAAAGCGTAAATGCACAGGTAAAAAATGGAGGAGCTGAACCAGATAAAACAATCAGTAAAAGCAGCAATTTTTAGGGAAATTTGGATAAATAACCAAAGTTTGAACCCCATATAGAATTATAGTCACCTTTTTAAATTTATGATAATTATTAACCAAAAGTTGATGTGAAAGTACTAATATACTCTACAGAGTCTCGGGCTTTTCTTTCATATCAAATGTTGTTGCTGTGTTGCTTTGTACTCACACTGCAAAGGAGGCATAAGCTCCTTTCTTGTTATTCATTCATCAAACACAAGGACAAGTTGCAATAACAACAGTAGCACCTTCCTGCCCAGAATTTCCTCTTCAGCCAACAACGACGCCATTTCATCCCCAAACCACAGCAGGTACCCTATCTCTTGAATTTTCCCAAAAATCTGAGTGCATTTTGTTTAATTAATGGTGTTTTGGGATTGGAATGGTAGTTGGGTTATGATCCAAAGACTTATTCGTGCTCGAGGATAATTCACACCAAAGGTTTGTAAATTTTGAAAAATTTCCAACTCCTATACTGTTTTTAATTTCTATGGGTTTTTGTTAGGTTTGAAGAGGTTGGAACTTGGAGACTAGTGTAAACTTGGTTTTGAATTTGAAGCGCCCGTTTGCTTTTTGGTTTTTCTTAAAAATCTTTTATCAAGGGTATATTAGTACTTTTAGCTTTACTTTTAATTGTAATTATCGTAACCTTAAAAGAGTTTATATATAGGATCTCAATTTTAGTTATTTTTTAAAAAAATTTCAATTTTTACTTCTTTATTTACCGAAAAAAGAAAGAAAAAAAAAAAAAAAAAAAAAGAGGAATTTACCTCTGGCTTGACGAAGGACTTGGTCGAGGAGACAATTTAATCAGCGGTTTTGGAAGTTTATTTTGAAATAGCAGAGAAGGGAAAAATGGTGAATAGGTCAGACCGTCAAAGGCGGTGCTTTCTTTTACCCAAAGCTGGGAAGTATTGCGATAAGCGGATCATCCTTTTGATTTTTTTTCAATAATATTTTAACACATACCGAACATTTCATTTAATTTTTATATTTCTGTTTAGGGATAATTAGATATAATTCAATTCGTGGAAAGTTATTAGGTAAAGTCGAAAGCTATTATATATTGGGTTAGGCCCAATAATTTATTTTCCAGCCCACCATGCCAAATCCACCCACTTAAAACTACCTATCACGGCATGTTATTGGGACTTATTGTCATCATCCTTCATCTTCTTCATCTCTCCTCACTCGTCATCTGATTTGGAACCAGCAAATTGCATGAATAGGGTACCAAGAAATTCCGAAGCTACCTCCACTGATTCAGATTTCATCAACATTTCTGGTCAGTCGTCAGAACAATATTATAGAAAATAGACGAAAAAGATGCGGCGAACTTATCAACAGCATGATTGTTAATTCTAAATTTTTAACCCAGAAGCAAGCAAGAAGCTTCTTGAAGTTACGTTAGGAACCGCTGAACAGAGGTAAAAAAAACCTCGTCACAACAAGAAGGGTGAGTGGCCGAGCGATATCCTTGAATCCCATTTTATGCATATAGGTCCGTAACGTAACTTCATGAAGCTTCCTTCCTGCTTCTGGGTTAAAAATCTTGAATTCAGCAATCATGCTCTTGATGAGTTCACCACATCTTTTTCGTCCATCTTATGTAAAATTGTTCCGACAAACCGACAGAAATGTTGATTTGCTACCTGGTTATCTGCAACTATCCATCCCTGATCGTCTTCTTCATTTTCTTCAAGTAGTTGACCTACTTGAAGGACTTTTTCTTCCAATTCTTGAAACATGACTTCAAATTTTTGATATGATTTCCCATTCTTCCTTGTTTTCCATTTCCGACGTAAAGAAACAGAGAGAGTTTGAAGAGACCAACTGATGTTCTTTAATACAGTGATTGTTTATAACTCGTTTTCAAAGGGAATCACAGTGTTTTTGGTAAATCCCTACTGTAGTTGTAGTTTCATTTATTTTCTTATTTATATTTAACATTCACAAGCTTTAAAAGCAAGTGTGAGTATTATGCGTATCTTTATCATGTAAAAGTCATTGACAATATTATTGACTACTTATCATACTTTTGTTATTGACTACTTATTATGTGAAAAATATTGACTGTTACCATTTTGTTTTCATGATAGTGTTGAAAAATATTGAATAACTTAACTTAGGATCCTTCAAAAAGTCCATTTGAACAAAAGCACTTTTGATGGCCCAAAAAAAATGAAGAAAGACGTAAGTACATCACATCATACCAAATAAAGATTCACAGTCCTTCAAGAGCTATTATAAGTGACTTAGCTGCCCGGCATATTTCTAAATATTTGGTATGGTGTAGCGTACTTATAATAGCTTTTGAAGGATCGTAAATCTTTATTTGGTATGGTGTGTCGTATTTCTATCTTTTTCTATTTCTTTTGGGCCATCAAAAGTGCTTTTGTTCAAAATGGGCTTTTTTGAAGAGCCCTATGCTAAATTGTTCAACATTTTTCAACACTATCACAAAAACAATATAGTAATCGTCAATATTTTTCACATAATAAGTAGTCAATAACAAAAGTGATTATCAATGACTTATACATGATACGCATAATACTAATATAACAAAAGTAATTCTCAATGGCTTTAGACCAAGATCAATTATTTATTATTTACAAAAGGAATGTTATTACTTTTGTTATTTATTATTTAGTATTATGTGGGTAAGTCACAAATAAAGGTTCACGGTCCTTAAAGATCAATTATTTATTATTTACAAAAGGAACGTTATAGTGCTGTCAGTGTCCAGCATTATGAAGAACTTGGTCTTGTAATAGCAATAGATAAATCTTGCAAGCATATATATTGGGGTTATGATGAATCAGTCTTGTAATAGCAATGGTATGTCTTCGTTTTGCTCAATTGAGTTATGAATCAGAGTCACTAAACTGCACGTACCAGTATTTGATCATGCAATAAAATACAGTCTGGAAAGTTATTTCATGTTATCATTCCCCAACTTTAGTTAGCACTCATGTTTAGTCAGCTTGCAGCCTGCTGATACTGATGGATCATCCACGACGCCATCACCACTTCTTCCCTCAAATCCTTAATTCTAAATCGCGCAGAGAAGTAAAGCTAAATGTTGCACCTTCACACTCTCGCCAGAGCCAAGCAAGTCTTGTTCAATTATTATTATTATCATCATCATTATTATGTGTATTAGCGTTGCTTTTAAGTTTTTTCCCTAAAACTTGCTTTGGCGCCCCGGACAATGGTTTCTTAAACTTAAAACTTTAAAGCTGCGTTGGCATGACTTGTATTTTAATACGTGAAATTTAATGCAATTTTCTAATTGGGTTTGAGTTTGTCCAAACCCACTGACGTTTAATTGGGTTGGCCCAAGCCCACCGACATTTAGTTCGACTTTATAAAACAAAACTAAATCTATCTGGGTTGAGGCTTTGCCTGCCCACATTCTAACTAACCCAAATCAACTCAACCCAATCCATTTAAACAAGAAATATATTGCCATTAGGTGTCTTAATCCCACACTAACCCAAGTACTCGATCAAAAACCAAACTCTACGTGGATTCAACTTGTTCACTTCCTTTGAATTAATCTTCTTATATAATATCGATCCTCTTCTCATCTCTCGTCTATCTTTTTTCTTCCTCTCTCTCTCTCCTTAATTTGCCTGTCGCACGGAACGAAGCGCGCAGGATGGAAAGAAATAAAAGTACGCTCCAAAAATTAGAATATCTATTCGAAGAGATTGCAGAATCTATAAAGGAAGAGGTGGCTCTGATAAATAATTTGAGTCCTGAGGAAACTTATGCATCTTATTTGAAGCATTTGGCTGCTTCTACTGGAATTCTTGGAAAACTGGACTTGAAGCATTTGGCTGCTTCTACTGGAATTCTTGGAAAACTGGACTTGAAGGAGCGCCACGGCCATGCAGATCATGTGAGTGGTGACGGCAAAGAAGCATTATTGGACACGGAGGATTCATTCAGTAACTGGGTTCACGTTATCCATCCCGTTGCTGATGAGTTTGAAAGAGACTCTTCCATATCATCGGCCATGCCACCAACAACAAAGTTTAGTTCCGTGACACGGCCGGTTAGATATTGGCTTGGTTTAACAGCAGACACAATAGTGTCCGCGACAGCCGATATTCTCGTTTCGGTGACAGCCGCCATTCTTAGAATCATTCTCACCACCATACTCGATAGGGTTCGTGCACTTGACAAAATTAAAGGGATCCTTAAAGGGATCCTGAAAGAATTGGAAAAGATAAACCCAGAAATACAGGAAATCGTTACTGCCTTGGTTTGCGCGAAAGTCATGATCAAGATTGCAGAAGAAGATGAATCTGAAGTCCTCAATGGATACTTGGAGATGATAGAAGGATGTCTGCTCCAGTTCCAGGTACGTTACACATATAAAATCTATATAAATTAGGTTATACATAAGGAATATACACTTGACATTATTGTGAGCGTCTGTGTCATATTTCAAGGCGTGGACATGCAAAAGTAAGGATAATGTTAGGGATATTAACTTTTTGAACCAAATTTTTTAATTTTGTAAATCAACAACTTGGTTGTTGATAATTGAATTGTTATGTAAGTGTTGATTGAAACGTTTATTTCCTATTGCTAACACGTCATATAACTTGCAAATTTAATCTCAAAAGTTGGTATATTTACCTATAATTACTCGATGTTAAATATATGTTAATAAAGTGTATTACATTTATTTTAACATAAACAATTACAAGTCTTTAATATATATATATACTGATTTTTTTGTTATCAATGTTTGGAATTTTTTGTGCAGAAAAAATATCCGGACATCTTGGATGGGGAAATACAAGCTTCAGATGCATAAACTATATTTACAATTTTATTTCTTATTTTATATTTCTGTTAGAGGTAAATAAGAATTCTTCACCAATAGGGAAAGAATAGTACTAAACTGTAATATTAGTGATGATTTGGTTATGTTACTATCTTATTAGTCTAAACTAGTTTTTTTTTCTTTGAAAAAGTACAATTGAATTTTGTTACTGTTTGATTAGTCTAATAAATTAGTTTTTAAAAACAAGTATGATTAAATTAGTTATGAGTAGTAATTCAATTAATCTGCTTTACTTTTTTTCTTTAAATAATCTGTTAATTCCTTCATATCATGTTATGTTAGGATAGGTCCTTGGTACACCACCTCCAATTCAGAAGGTATGAGAGGAGGTAGGGGGTCAAAACATGGGTAGTGGTGGTCTCAAATCAGGAGTAGTCGGTCATGGATATTTTCCAGATCTAGGTCGGACGAATAAAGTGATTCGTCTTCTGAACCTAAGCCTTTCTCAAGGGTTTCTTACAGAGTAATCTTGATTAAAAATTTCAATCACGTCATATTTTTCAAGCGATTATTTTAGTATATGTTCACGAATTTATTTTCATGTCTTCTAAAAAGCTAGAATGAACAAGTTGAAGTGTGCCTCACTAGCTCTTAATCTCAACAATGCTTAGTGAAATACATATGCAGTATGGTCAAATAGAATTCCTCTTAACATTATTTAACATGTCATCTTTGACGATTTGAGTTGTACTTGAAATTTTCCGTTCAGTATCATCGCTTTTATACTCAAAAGGTTTTACGTGGACCTTCGGGCGCAACCAATTTATAACGTACTATAATGTAAACTTGGTTTGGTTCCAATTGTGATTTTCATGTCACTTGTTCATAGGCGAGTAATTCGTAGAGGTACACAAACTAATGTTACATACTCAACTCAAGTTATAAAATATGGATTTGTTTTTATATTTTATTAATAATACCCAAAAAGCGAGACATATAATTTCTAGTATAATACATGAAGGAAAAAAATAGCATCATGTGACAATAGTTCTTGTACAAAAAAAAAAAAAAAATTCATGGCGATGGGTTTACAGATTTGGGCTCAAAAAGTATTTATAAATGATAGCCCAAAATAATGAAAAGGCCCACCCCACCCACACTTCAAATATCCACACAGATAGTCGTCATCGTCTGCGTCGCACCGAGTGTTAGTGGGCGAGCGAGACCTGAGCTACCGAGCTCAACATAACCCGATTCTGAAGAGTGCTACAGCGTTGCTTCCGAAGTAGAAGTTGGAGAAAAGAAGATGAACACAGACATCACAGCGTCAACGAAACCCGAGTACCCGGTCATAGATCGGAACCCTCCGTTCACCACAGTCGTCGGCAACTTCAGCACCCTCGATTACTTCCGTTTCGCCACCATCACCGGCGTCTCCGTTACGGTCGGCTACCTCTCCGGTAACCCTATATCCCTTTCCGATTTTCTCGCTTTCTTCAATTAAAGCAGTAATCTTGATTAATTGAATTTTAATTTGTGTGAATTTGATAGGGATTAAGCCCGGGATTAGAGGGCCGTCAATGGTTACAGGAGGTTTGATTGGGGTAATGGGCGGATTCATGTACGCTTACCAGAACTCGGCGGGACGCCTCATGGGCTTTTTCCCCAACGACGATGAGGTAGCTCGTTACAAGAAATGAAAATGCACATTCAGTGTTCACATTTCTAGGGTTTCTCTCTAATAATCAGACTGTTCCTTTTTGTGCTGAATTCATTCATGTGCTGCTTAATCGGAAATTAAAAGTTGCGGTTTTTTGAATCTGGTGCCAATGCTGTCGTTTAAGTGTGTTTTGAAATGTCATACAACTGATAATAAAATGCTGCTGTTGTTGATATGATGCTACACAATGTAGTCCAATTAATTGGATGTTAGCTCTCTGAGTTGGAAGTATGCGGAATTTTATCGTATTGGATCACGCTTAACATGTTGTTTCCAGAGCTATGTTTTGCTTTTATGTAATTGTTGATTAAGAAGAATAGCTTCCAGTTCGGGAGAATGATCATTTACGCTTTTTTCCATTGATGATATCCTTGAATTGGTGATGATTGTCAAGCTAGAATAGAACCTTTAAAGGTCTTATAGTAAGAAAGTCTGTTTCTTGATATGCTTTTGTGATTGGCATGTGAGAAGGACAAAACTTCCATTAAGGAAAACATCATATTCACTGGAGATCAGTCAGACTTTGACAGTGCTAGTTACGTGATTTTGCTTATTGAGTTTTTGAAACTTTTGAGCCTATGTCTAGTTCAAGAGGAGACGGAAACAGGTGGAGGATGGTTTTGCAAAACAGCTGAGGGTTATAGAGTAGGAGCAGAAGGTGCACGTAAGGGTAGGAAAAGAAGCTAAGCACTAGGCTGGGAGCGTTACAGACTGATTGTTCCCTTCACACGTTTGCTGCATGATTTCCTGATCTGGACAGAGAATAGATAATGAGCTTTAATTTGGGAGGCTGATGTTTGGTATAAGGAAATGTCATGTGAAGTGCTTGAAGATGATAACCAGTTAAGGCGTCGTTTCTAATGCAGATATTGCTATTCGATTGTTATTTTTTTAACCTAGGCTTGTATGTGTTCTGTTTGTATAACTTGTAGCATGCACAAGCCCATACTAACATGTCTTCTCTCTTTGATTATTCACCTGTAGTTATTTGGTTTGGATGTATGCAAAGTGATTATGTATGGCTGACTTTATACAAAGTCCATATCCATGGTGGAGATTAGGCTTTGTAATTGTAAAGTTAAAAGCACAAATATTTATATCCACCATTGGCTTTGTAAATTTAAGTAGAAATGTGTGTAGGTTTTAATCTTGGCTCTGATATGATTTGGACCCGAACTGCTCCATGCAAATGTTGATGCACCTTGGTTGCATTCAGCTAGGTCTGCAGCAGCACCTTAGGGTTCCGAGTCATCAAGTTGATAACCTGAAGATGCCGTGATTTTGAGTTCTCTGGCAACCTTTCTCTTTAATGGTCTCGGAGAAACCTAACCTCCGTTACAAGAGTGTTTGTCGTGGTCTCCCGTCGTCCTTCGTCCCCCGTCTCCATCTCCATATCCAATTTTTCTTTTCCATATCCACTAATCTCACCAGCAGCAGCAGCCGCAGGAGTCATCAAAGTCTGGAGGGATCCATGAACAGTTGGAACAAAGACTGAGCGACTTCAATGTTACTATCGGACGGTTGATCGTTTTCCATTGAGTAAATAATAAAGGACCCACGTTGGAACGCCAATATCTCAATTCAATAGTGTTTTGAAACGCGGTTGGAGTGTGGACCCGCGTAACACGTTGGATCCGGTGGGCGGCACTTACCGATTCTTCATTCAACTACCTTCAAGGCTTCAAGCATAAATGCTGTAAATTATGCAAGTGTTAATTAATTAATCATTATTTCATTTTATATGTCGCTGTCTTATTTTTATAAAATTGTGATTAAAGAAGAATGTTGATCTCATCCCACTTCCCACGAGCACCCGCACCAAGCAAAGTCATGGTCGGAGTAGGTAAACAGAAACTCCTCCACCCACTTCCATACAAATTACAAAAGGTATTTCCTAATTAAATATCAAATATTTACATTTTCCTTCTATCTTTTTGGAAGCTTCCTTTTATGTGTTACGATCACTTTGAGATTAGGACAAAATCTTAATCGACACTCATATCATGTATGTCATATTTAACGTCTCTTAACAGTGGCTTCCATGAATATGTATTACTCGCATTTACATTTTATGTGACGATTAATGTTAGCACAACTCTTATAATATTAGTGAAGGCATGAGCAAGCTAGCTAGCTAAGAGAGATAAGAGAAATATTAGAGGACCTTACAAATGTTTGGCATACTGTTCCTAGTAAGTTTATCCCCTTCTTATGATTTATAGCAGTTAAAAGTGAATCTCATCACTCGTGTTAACTGACACATTTTATACACCGATGCTTTTTTTTTTTTTTTTTTTTTTTTAATCATACATGCATATGGTGTTGCTTATTTTTAATCTTTAAATTGAATCAACCGGAAAAAAAAAAAAATTAATAGACATAAATAAACAACAACATGCAAAAGGAGAAAGAATATACACCAACATTTTTCCACGTGGTTTAGACAAAAAAAAAAGGACATATCTTAAGGCGTGTTAAAGAAAGGCCATGGCAATTAGGAAGGACAATCCATCCTAATCTTACAACGCAAAGTCCAAATCTTCACGTGCCATGCAATGACTGGTCCCCCCATCAACTCATTCATTAATTTATACCCGAGCAAAAAAATTTCAGTGTTGCTATCCGATACGTTAAGATGGATTTCATTTCATTACCATTGGAATTATGTACCAGTATTAGGCTGAAACAAGAAATGAAATGTCATAAAAGAAAACCCTAGCAGCGAGAGAGGAAAAAACCTACCCCCGCCGACTCCAGCCCTTGATGTTGGGGTCAATGGCCATCCTTCTTAATTCCTTCCTTCTCTTTCTTTTTTTGTTTGTTTTTAGTAGTGGTCACTCACTCGCTTTGTCAATGAGAGTCTTTGTGTTTGTGGTTGTGGGTCACTCTCTCATTGTAAGAAGGAGAGCTTTTGTAGCAATTATGACTTATAGCTTAACCTCGAATCTTAGAACGATAATTGTTCTTCAAATATGAGGTGATGATTTTGTGGCTTGTGCACTTGGTAAGGATTATGCAGAAGAAGCTCAACGTTTGTTGGAGGTGACTTAAGCAGAGTTTTTTCCCACAATTACAAGACCATCAAAGGGGTTTGCGATCTTTCTCTTATATATGAGGTCGTTCCAATGGTTTGATTGATTCACAGTCATGTTTTTGTGTCGTTGCAAAGTTTTCAGGTAATGGTACGTGTTTACCTTGTGTGTCTTGACGGTGTAGGTCTGGCTTGTAAGGTTTAGGCCTTATGAGCTTATCTTTCTTGCTAGTTAGGTGTAGTCTCTTGTGGTTGAAGAATCATACATCCAAGGAATTTGTTTTGTTTTGATTGTGGTTTTGTTATTTGTTCGCCTGACAAAAGACTATGAGTACATCTATTCCCATAGCAAGGCTTCTTTGTCGACAGTGCATCGTCCCTTGCCATTTCATCATAAAGAGATGCAAGGTTTATCCTCATGGACATTATCTTTCCATTTGTTTAGATGTGATTACGTGAGGCTTATATACTATAATATGTAAGGAGATAATAATGTTATATTTATAACGTATAATATGTGGACTCGTACACCGACATATCCTCAGAGTATTTCGCGAAAAATGTGGACTCTGAATATTTTATGCAACTCCCATAAGGTACGTAGTCTTAAAGAGATTCCTAATCCTAATCATATTGGTTTCATCAATTGGGATCAATAAAAACCATTATCTTGACGAGTACTCGCTTTTGTCTTTTTTTCTTAATTAATTAGACTTAACTTTAAAAATGGTTTATCTGTCTGATTGGCTAGTTTCAGTACCACCTGCACGCATTAAGAAAATCCAAACCTAATTATGTTTTTAATCTTTTCTTGATAAATTATAATTAGGGTTTTGGAGGCTAACATGTTCAGCACCGGGCTCCGAATAACAGCAGATCTTTTGTTCGTTGGAGTGGAGTTCAAGACGCTGATACATTTTAATCATTTTTTAATTTGCAGTTAAAAAACGTTGGTTGAAAGCTTTAAACAGAAACAAAATACTGAGCAAAGGGCACCAAATGGGAAAGTTCGAAGAATGTGGGGCGTGGCAACCTTCCAGGCAAAAGCCCTGCTTATAACATGGCCCTTCTTCTCCCACTATATTTACGAGAATGACATTTGACCGTTCTGTCCCGAGGGTCCCAACCCCGAAAGTCTCCAAACCATACCATGCAACTTCCAAGTGGACGCGAATCGACTGAAACCGCCCATGGTTTTTGTCTCACTTAACTCTCATCGATGAGCGGCTTACCGTTTTTAGTTAATACTGTTAGCCTTTGCTTCTTTAATTGCATAAGATTCTACAAAATATCACATCAATATATTATATTCTTATACAGTACGGTAATTTTTCATAAACATTTTACGTTGTATAAAATTAGTCATGTATATTATTATTAGCATTCAGAGAATGAATATACTTGTTGCTTAATTTGTATTTTGATTTACGAGATAGCAGTTAATTAGTCTATTTTTACGAAGTGTACATGTTAAAAGTTAATTTATTTTACAACAATACATGTTATTTCAATTAAGCTTATATAGCTTGCACAAACCTCTTACACACATAAACAAAATAACAAATATTAGACAAGTATTTGGACTCAAATAACCTAATACATTTGACTCCTTTGGATAATATATATAGTAAAGCCCACTTGTCTCAATTAATAAGAGAGTTGTTTATTTATTTCATCCGAAAATTGTCTCCAACTAGATTGTTTCTTAATCATCATAACATATATAGAACCAAAAAGCCGAGTAGTGACCCTATATATAAACAATAGAGAATCAATATTTGTTCTTTTATTTGGTTAAAAAATTTAAAGAATTAACGGTTCAAAACTCTTATGCATACCATGCTCCAGTGCATGGTAGAAAAATTCAAAGTTTTCTCTCTCGTCTTCTTCCAACTTTCATGATGGATGAAAATCCTTGCAAATTATTTATCTTGTTTCGTATTAAATATGTACAATGATATTAGCAGTCAAGTTTGAGTCTTTGAGATGTTTTCCAATCGTGAATAGTTAACCCATAATTAACAAGACCAAACGAAGAAGACTCAAGTATATATGATTATTTCCTTAGCTCATTTTAAGACGATTAAACCGCACGTTGGATCAATGATTTAAGTTTATCAAATGAAAACTTAATAAGATGAGATTAGAGTAATCCAAGTTCATGATATGTGTGTGTGTATATAGGCCCTAAATCCTGTCTTAAATACGCTTTGACTGTAATTAAAAGTCTACAAAGTACGGTAGTCCATTCTCCGTTCATCAATAGTTCTCTCTTTCTTAGTTTTCTACTCCGCTTGCCTGCACTCGGGCATCCCAACCCCTGACCACACGTCGCGACGACGTTGTTCATGCGAAGAAGGTTAATTTCGTCATTTCGTACCACAACTCAAAACATGTACACGGTCGTCCAAAAGTTCTACTTAAAGGGGTGATCTTGTAATTAACTCTAAACGCAGTGGCCTTTGTTTCTCAGACACAACTATAAAAAATCTACAGAGTCGCAGCACATGGTTCTAGCATGACAGAAGGATTCCTCTCTGCCTGCCGCCTGAACAAGAGGAATCTGAAGGCCTTTCGTTAAGGTTTTGCCGACCCACCAATCCCAGCTGACCTGAGCTGACTAATCCAGCTGAGACTTGTCTTCTTTGTGATTAAGGTAAGCTTTCATTAATTTCGACAAATTTCTTGTTTATGAATCATGGGTTCGGATTAAGAACGTTTGTTATGACTTGGGTGTTTGTTCTTCTGAGGATTTTAAGGTCTAGATTTAAACTTTTGTTGGATTACTTCATGAGAACATGAGTTTCTGTTGGAATTTTTTAGAGGTGGATTTGTTTCACTGATTGAATTCTAATTTGGCGTCTGCAAATGGGAATTAAAAAAATTTACCATGTTTTTTGTCGCTATTATCTGCCTGAATTGTTTTATGTTCAATAATTTGTGAAATTATTTTATTTGAGTGCCATTTTTGTTGTTCCGAGATCAATTCATTTGAAGAAATCAAACGATTTGGGAATTTAATAACTTTTTAGCTGTTAAAGTACCTTTCCTCTCTGCCCGGATAATATATTATCTTGTTCTCCAAAAAAAAAAAAAAAATACCTTTCTTTTTTGTAGTAATTAATTAGTTAATTTTACTTCAAATTATAAGATAATAAGGAAAAGTTGAATTAGATAATTGCAAAAATGAATTTTAACTAAATTGAAAAACGCGGTTCGACGACCGTGTGCTCAGAAATTACGCGTTTTACTGTTTGTTGGTCTGGGGATGTTGGAGGAGAAATTAGTAGGTAATTAGAATAGTGGGGCTGTGCTGGTTAGGTTTCACCTGCTGAGTGCTTTTTGTTTTCGGGTAGAGAAAAGATGTAGAAGCCTGATTTATCTATGGCGGAGTTACGTGTTTGGTAGGTGAGTTTTCAGTTCCGACCTTCCGACCTTCCGAGTATCTAAATAAAAGGGCGAGTTTTGTTGTTGTAGTGGTTTTAAGGATCATATTTTGCTTCTATGGTATTCAATTTTGTTGTTGTCAGGTGCTGATTGGTGATCAATCTCGCATCTCTTGCCCATAATCTTTCGTTTAAGAACATATTTTGTTTGTGACCAAGCTTCTGCTTTTCTTGGTGTTTAGTTAACATAAACTTATCTCCTATGTGCAGACTTGGCGGTTCTGGTGACTTTTCTTCCAAAGATCTAACAGAGGGGCGATCAAGTCAAGTTTTAGGAACATAAGGTGAGAATTATTCTCTGGGTTGGGTCAATCATTTCATTTCGTTAGATGAAAACATCTCAGCAACACCGAGGTGTGGCTAGTATCCATCACAAGCTGTACCACCCGCCTGTGCAGCAGATAGATGCCTACGGGTACCAGATTTTGGAAAACAGTGTGTTTCCGGATACTGGTAGCCAAGGAAACAATGTTTCCTTTCAAACCTGCAAGGATGGCGAGGAGCAGTTTTTTACCCTGGAATCATCTCCGGCCACTGCCTTTGTAACCTGTGATTCCCCTTCTGCTGTTAGTAGCTTGTCTAACAAGAGTCCATTTTCACCGCAAGGTTCTCACTCGTGCTTGTCTGATCAGCACCATTCGTCCGGCAACAATTATGGATCACCAACAAGTGGGTGCTCCGTAGTTGAGGATGACAACGAGTTCAAGTACAGGCTCAGGGAAGTGGAAGTTTCATTGCTAGGGCCCGACTCGGATATTGTTGATAGCCACTTTTGTTGTCACAAGAGTGGTATGGCAAGGTGGAGCCAGAGTCAAATAGCCACAATGATACCTAAGTTAAACCTAAAAGATGTTCTCTTGTACTGTGCACACGCGATATCCGAAGACGATTTATACACTGCAACAAGCTGGATGGAAGTTTTGGGGCAAATGGTGTCAGTCTCTGGGGAGCCAATGCAGAGATTGGGGGCTTACATGTTGGAAGGTCTTAGAGCAAAGTTGGAAAGATCGGGGAGTTTAATCTACAAAGCCCTAAAATGTGAAGTTCCTACAAGCTCGCAACTTATGTCATACATGTCTGTCCTCTATGATATCTGCCCATATTGGAAGTTTGCTTACGTGTCTGCAAATGTAGTCATTCGGGAAGCGTTGGAGAATGAGCCAATAATCCACATAATTGATTTTCAGATTGCACAGGGCAGTCAGTGGGTTCCCCTCATCCAAGATCTAGCTCGCCGGCCCGGTGGCCCCCCATGTATCCGGATCACAGGTGTTGATGATACTCAATCAGCCCATGCTCGTGGCGGGGGACTTCATATTGTGGGGGAGAGGCTTTCAAAGCTTGCGGCGTCATGCAATGTGCCATTTGAGTTTAATGCCGCAGCCAGGTGTGGTTCTCAGGTTGAACTTCATAATCTCAGGATTCAACCAGGGGAAGCTATAGCGGTTAATTTTCCATACGTGTTGCACCACATGCCCGATGAGAGTGTGAGCACTGAGAATCACAGAGATCGTTTGTTAAGGCTGGTTAAGAGTTTATCGCCCAAAGTTATGACACTTGTGGAACAAGAATCCATCACCAACACTTCCCCATTCTTCTCAAGGTTTAGTGAAATGGTAGATTATTATACAGCAATGTTTGAATCAATTGATGTGGCTCGGCCAAGAGACGACAAACAGAGGATCAACGCAGAGGCGCACTGTGTGGCTAGAGACATCGTGAACATGGTTGCTTGTGAAGGGGCCGAGAGGGTGGAACGCCATGAACTTTTCGGGAAGTGGAGATCAAGGCTAATGATGGATGGATTTACTCAATACCCTCTGAGTCCTAAAGTGACGGCAGCTATCAGGATTCTGTTGAAGGAATATAACGAGAACTTCAGAATTCAAGAAGCAGACGGGGCTCTCTACCTCGGTTGGAAGCAAAGAGCTATGGTAACATCTTCCGCATGGAGGTGAACCGGAAGGTGACCGCAAAACACTGTAAAACTTCTGTGCTCGTATTGTTTTATGACGCTTAGAGCATCAAGGACTGATTGTGTAAGTTTTTGTAGGATCTAGATTTTTGAGCTTTCTTGCAAGAGTTCCTAGTTTTAGGCACAAACGTGAATCTCGAACTTTGGTGTTGTAAAAATGTTGGCCTTGCAAAGAAAGCGAATAGCTCTCACTTTTACTGTAATTTTACCTTTCTCATGCTTGTTGCATTGCGTTATCTTTTTTGGCTTTTCACCATACAGAAAGTGCCATCATTTGTGTAAACTATTTGAAGATTGCCTTTTTAATTTTTATCTACTAGGCTTCTAGTTAAACATCAGTATGTAAACTCGGGAGCCGTGCGAGCTCAAGTGAGATGGTAGGCAATTCCCAGCAAAGCTTTTACTCTTCAAAAGGATGAGGCTGCTTGTGTGTATTAGGAGTTAGGCTAAATTTATGTTACCCAATGTGTTTGGCTCGAGTCTCACCATGCGTGAGATTGTATTAGGCTTAAGGGATTTCGAGCACTAAATTTTGTGAAAATGAGTAACGGCGTAACTTATCTGATCCGTGCTACGAGAAATGTGATTCAAATTTGGGTATAGAGATGAAATAGTTTTAATTAATTTGACTAAAACCACATTTGCCAATAAATTTATTTTACTTGTAAAAGACGAAATTAAATTAAACAAAACATGAATTAATCATACCGATTACACGGTAAAAGCGACCACTTGGTAACTCCCCGGCCGGAAAATACGGTTATTAACCCCGCAATAACCAAAAACATTTTGTCAAAAAAATAAAAAGAAAAGAAAAACACCCGCACTGCGATTCGATTCCATGATAAATCAGATGCAGAAGTTGCTGCGTACTGAATTGTGATCACGATGAAAGTCCAGGTGATCAATCACAATGCTTTCCTCGCACGCATATTAATTTCACTGAAGGTAAATTTTAATTTGTTTAATCGCATGTTAATTTTAGGTTTATAATTTAATTTTCATTCATATATTATATAATATTATTCGTTTTTCTGTATTGATCCAAGAAAAATTATGGAAACAAAATTGAGGGGTAAAAAATTAATCTGAAAATTTGGTTGTCGTATGGATTTCAGATAAAGTAGCAAAACTTGCTTGAAGAATTGGGGAGTCCGTTACCAACGGCTTTTGAACAGCAATGGAGGAGTTGTCGTTGGATAGATCGGAGTTGCGCAGAATGCAGAGAGAGCAAGAGCGGGAACGACGTCGCGTAAGGGACAGGGAGAGGAGGCAGTCTATGACCATTGAACAGAGAGAACGACATCTGGCTCGTCGTCGTAGGAACTATCAACTTAGACGACTGAGAGCTGAAAATGCTAAAGCAGGGGATTTCCCATCACAGCAAATAAGCAATGAACATGATGCAGCATTATCAGAAGGGAACAGTTACGTCCGGGAAGTTACTCGGCTCGAAAACCCGACCACGGAACGTCTGCAGTACTCCCAATGTAAGTGTGTTTTTGTAACTGCGTTGCCATTTTGCATATTCAAAGTTACTGGCCGTGCGACAGCCATACTAAAAAATTTGTCGCATTTAAAATGTGGTAACAGGTTTGGAGGCTGCAGCTTCTAGATCGTCTAATTTCTCAAAACGGTTGCGTTTGAGTCATATAAGGCGGCTTGCGCGGTCGTTGAATCATTTAGGCGGCGAGGTTATTGGTAATCACCAAATTGTAGCGGACGTGATTCGAAAGGGTGATAGTAATGCTTCTTGTAAGTTTGATAGTGTTATGTTAACTGCAATGTAGAATTTTAGTTAAGCAGTAACTTAATTGTTTATGATCTTTAATTTTTAATATCAAATAGGTTTCCGAATTGGCGATTTTGATTCCGGGAGGCTTCCAAATGGACTGCGTTTCAATCGAGTTAAACGTCTTGCACGATCAATAAATTCTTCTATGAATGAGGCTTCTGTTAATGGCCCAAAAGGTACTAAACAGAAAGTAGATGAAAGTCTGTTAGTCATTCATTTTTCAGTAGCCTAATGCATGTTAGGAACACACTAAATGTTTACCTTGTCCATGTAATTGTTACTGAGTCTTGCACCTCTGGTCCAGTTGAACAGATTCCGTCTGCAGAAGAGATTAGAGCAATTGGTGATGATAAGCCTAAATTTGGACATAGTATTGATGTTAGAGGAGACGTAGAAGGACCTAACATGGATGGTAATTCTCAGCTGCATTTTCAATGTGCGTAAATAAAGCAATGGTTGGTATTTTTGTACGCTTTTTTGCTGTTGTTGTTGTTGTTGTTGTTGATTTTGTACCAGAGAATTCCTCATTGGTGTGGTCAATGAGATTTTGTTGTCCCATTTCAGGATAAACTCCCCCTTGCGTACTAATGTCAGGACGTGAACTTTAATCACACACAATAAATGGACTTTACGCAGCTCTTCTCTACAGATTTTTAGTGAAGACTAGTAAGTTGGAAACTATTCATCTGTTTTTTCTTGCATTCATGTCTATTGGTACTCTATAAAAGATTAACTTTTTAAGTTTAGAAGATAAAATGGACTTTAATTCTCCACAACAGAACACGGGAATATGTATTCTGTGTCTGTTATCATTGGTCTACATATACAGGCTATGTTACTTCATCGTCAAGTTGTTATTATCTCCTCTCATTACTTAAAATGAAAGGGTCAGTTAAGCGTGACATTAAGATTGATTACCCCTTCTTTAGTCGAATACACACATTTGTCTCAGTCAGCATGAGATAACTAGGCAGTGGACTTGAAGATGCCGGAAGCCATTGATGATCAGCACACAGTAAATAGTGGAGTCGATAGAAATTAAGCCTTGATTTTAGTTGATTGATGGCTTATAGTAATGGTTGATTGTCGTTTGCCATGCAACTCGATTCAAGTTTTCACCCTTATCATCCCATTCTAATGCCTTTGCCACCCACGGCATGGTATAACTATTTAGAGTTGTTTAGGAGATCCATGCCCATGGCAACGAACTTCAGAGAGTTTTGAAGCTACATTATTTTTCAGGCTTCCCAGCTTATAGTTTTATGTCTTTTGTTTCGTCTAACATGCTTTTAAGGAAACAAGAAAAAGTAGTGTCAGGAAAAATATGCAGGACTGATCGTTTGTTTTAACTTTTCGTTTATATTTCAAGATTGTACGACAGAGAAAGCTAACAGGATGAGGAAAGCTTGTTGGATTCAGAAAACTTGCTGGCAAGGCTCGCCGATCTCTTCAAACAATTCCTCGTAGTCGGAAAATCCACGAGCTAGAGTTATGTTTTGCTGCGCTGCTGCTGGCAGATTTTGATCAGAGAAGGAAGATAACATATTTCATGAGGGTCTTGAAATAGGACGATACTTGTAGACTGCATTGTCAATGAATTAATTTATACTGATTTACTCATAAGAAGTTCTTTCGGGGGTTTTTATTCAGGTTTCTTGTTGATATTTTGATCAAGTTTTACTGTTCAGTATGTGTTTTTTCAGGTTACAAACCCTATTTGTTTTCTCAGCCTTGCTTTTTAAGGTTGCACACAACTATTTGTTCTCTGCCTTCGTATATATTGCCACCTTGTCACGTTTTCTCGTTGGGTCAAAGTATGAACAAGGATTTCTCATCTTGCACTGCATGTTCCGGAATTGGAAGTCGATCACATACTACATCGGATTAATTTTCCCATATTGCACTACATGATTGCTTCAGATACTGCATAATATCATTCCATGTGCGGGAAAGTTTTTCTTTAAAAACAGAGCTCAATTTGACCCAAACAGCGTTGAAGGCCAAAGGGATCCCCATAGACTAGTTACTGTGCATGGTTGATCTAATAGCCGGTTGACGATGCTGTTGTTGAAAAATTTGCATACATTTTGTTTGTTATTCTGTTTAAAAGTGTGTAAAGGAAAAACAGTGCGCAAAATCACATCCTTTCGAATTTTGGTTGAGTTCGTTCCTCTTGGGCTTGATTAACATATGCAGTTACGCACTGGGCTTCGTATCGTTAGGGGCAAGTCTCAAATATGTTCAATCTCCGGGCCTACGTGCCAAAAACCTCGGCCCAAACAAAGGATAAAACCCTAATTTCGTTTGTCGGCGGCCGTATTTAGTATCACTCGTTCTTAGCCGCGCGATCACATCGGACGGTGGTGATGTCATGTGCTGACGCTATAAATACTCTTCCCCCCATGTAGAGAAATCATCAGTTCTCTAATTTTCTGCTCTTCTAGGGTTTTAGTCTCCGCCTCTCTTGCTTGCAGGTCCTAGGGTTTATCAGCAAAAGCTTGCTTGATTTCGTTTAGTCCCATTTTTTTTATCCATTTTTTTTTCCATTTTTCTACAAAATTTGGATGCTGTTGTTGTGAATTTTGATGCGACGGGGGACATTGATCCGTCCCTAACTGAACGGAGCAGGCAGCCGATGATGCCTGTACATTCCAAAAGTTAACGTCGCATATCGATTGTTCGTCGACGTTGACGGTCCTCACGGTTTCGGCTGGGAGCTCCTCCGTCGACGGTGGTGTCATATCCTATCGCCTTGTGGAGCGGTGTCACCGTCTTTACCATTTGGGACTGGCCATGAGACCTACATTTTTCCAATTTATATGTGATTTTTATTTTGATTTGTTTTTAAAATAAAATTGCCGGTGATGAAATCAGTTATAAAACACACCATCTTTCGGGACTGAATGGCTTTTATGCCTTGCTGACTATCTGCAATTCTGAGGCAATTTTCTTCTTTCTCAAAGTTTCATATTTCTACGTTTTTCTATCGTCAATTTTTGTTCACTTTTGCCTGCCTGCGAAGGAGTGATTTGAACAAGTGACTTCCTAAGTTCTTTGGAGTGATTTGAACAAGTGACTTCCTAAGTTCATTGAGGTCGAAGGGCTTTAGAATCTTCTCCCAACCATTCTCTGGCTCTGACCCTTCATCACTGACAAAATTGCAGAGTAGTTGGGTTTTAACAAAGATTGCAACTTTATTGTTAGATGTCGAAATATTTGGCGTTTTAAGACATTACGCTAAAAGGGTACCTTGGATTTTTGAAAAAAGCACCAGAGAACCAGACATTCGCTTAAATTTCCTCAAGCTAAATTTCCTCAAGCTTGAAGGATCAAACAAAAAAGGGAAACCCATAAAAACGTGAAAAATGAGAAAAGAAAGAATCAAATTGTCTGAGCTTAAATTTCATCAGAGCTTCATCTGCAGGAGATGAAGTTCAGCAGCCACACAAGGAACATATATACGTTCTCAATCGACACCATGTTATCCTACCAACATTTGTGATCAGTGTGTCATCAGAGTGTAAACTTTCCAATAAGACATGTAAGGAGGTCCTAAAACACATCATCTACTTCCTACTAACTGGAAAAGGTTACTATGCATATGACCCGCACTGAACTTGAGACTCCAGCACAGCTCTCGCAGCTTCTATGGCTACCTGTCCACCAACGTAGTGTTGCCGGCAGACAGGCATGTAGACTTCAGCCCCGCCAATCAGTTCAGTTTGCATCTCCTCCGTCTTTCTTAGTGTAAAGAAAGCACGTTTCCCACAAAGTTCGCATCGAGCAGTTACTTGGTTACAGAATCAGCAAGGGGAATTATATCTAGCACAGGACCAAATTTCCTCCTGCCATCAAATTTAGAGTTATAAGGGAACAACATTCTCCGATTGACAAACGAAAACTGGTCTTTGCAAAGTCGCAACAGAGCCTCAATTGGTGGACAATTCGAATAATTACCTTAAATAGTCACCATCTAGTCCGGCGACGATTACTTTTTTACCATCACGGTCAGCAGCTTCAGAGCAGAAATCATAGAGGTCTTCAAAGAACTGAGCTTCATCGATACCAATCACATCTAGCTGTCACCGTGTATTCTTTATGAGTAGATAATATGAATGATACATGGCAAAAAGATGTTACCTAGATGACATGAATTGCTTATCAATCAAATGCCGGCGCTAAGATACCTGATCATATGCCTCAGGGCTAAACTTTTGTTTGAACGACGACAGATCTTTTAAAGGCCAGCATGGGAACTTGACCCCATCATGCGTCACAATTGAATCCAATCCATATCTTGTATCCTTGATCGATTTGATTATAGCAACATTTCTGGCAAAAGGTTAAACAAAGGAATTAATGACTGATACACAGAAATTAATCAATGATATGTAATATTTTTCAAGCAAAGGTTTGGAATGATCACCCTCTGGTTACAAAAAAATGAGAAACAATTACATCTCAAGAAAATCCGAGCAGGACACTTGGAACTTGCAAGTAGATAGATAATGTACAATATCATTCAGTCCAGCACTGCAAAACATCAATAGGGTGAATATCTCTACCTCTTTTGCTTACATCTTGTGATTAAAGACTTATTGGGAAGCTGACCGTGATAATACTTGGCCCATAGATTCTCCCCTTAGGATGTGCTGTGCATACCAACAGTCATGAAATTCCACCAAAATTTCACACAGCTACAAGATTGCAAAGATCAACTCATCACCACCGTATATAACATCAACTCTCAGCTTCTAGTCATTAAGCTGAAGATTTATGAAACTATTTACTACAAACTTGGCAGATACATTATGTGTCATACCATCGACGTCTGTGCAGTTTCCTTCTTCTCACTGAGAACCTAAAGGACAAGAGCCAGAAGACACTCGCAAGTTTCATGTATCAGTGTCATGCATGGGGTTCATGTACTGAAATCTGAATATAAACAATGTTGTCTCTCTTACATGCTTTTCAACTTCCTATGAAGTGCAATTTCTATAACTTTTGACACTGTTCAAATAACTTTGTGCGAGTACATCACTGCATATTCAATTGATCTTTCAGACAAGACCGAGAATACATCTCAATCATTGATTCATGAAGCTCTTTTATATCAAGTTCTTCATACGACAAGAAAATGAGAGATTCCTAGGAAACGAGCACTTTTCCTTAACATGAATTAGCTTCCCCTTACTGAGAAGCATAAGGCTGAACCCTTTAGAGAAAAATCAACCAATTTAGCCATTTCATAAATCTGTTTGGATTGTTTGTGATATGTATCACCCATAAGAAAGAAATGGACCTCCTTTTGAACCTCTATTTTGCTATAAGCGGGCTCCTTTACTATCCCTGATTCCTTCATCATATCCCTAACCTTAGCAACATTATCCCACAACCCAAAAGTGGCATAAGCATTTGACAAGACCACATACTTCCCAGCATTCTCTGGTTCCAATGCGAAGTACTTCTTTGCTGCAAGCTTTAACAAGTCCCTATCTCCATGAATTCTACAAGCCCAAAGAAAAGCACCCCATATCACTGAGTGCTCCTTATAAGGTGAGTTTGAAACAAACTCATAGGCTTCTTCTAACCGCCCAACACGTCCTAAAACGTCTACCAAGGCTGCATAATGTTGTGCTCTTGGCCGAATTCCATAATCTCTTGTCATGGAAGAAAAGTATTCCCAAGCCTCGTCAACTAAAGCTCCATGACCGCAAGCAGAAAGAACTGAGATAAAAGTAACATAGTTTGGCCTGAAACCTTCACTCTTCATCCTATGAAAAAGATGCAAGACCTCTACAACTCTTCCATGCTGACCATACCCAGATATCAAAGCAGTCCAGGTAATGGCATTCCTGTTTTGAGATGTATCAAATACCCTATGCCCGTCAGATATATCACTACATTTAAAGTACATATCCATTAGGGCACTACTGACTACAACATTTTGTCCAATTTGGCACTTTATCATGACACCATGAGCTTGCTTCCCATGCTCCAGTGTTGCTAAAGATGCACACGCTCTGAAGACCGATGCAAAGGTATACTGGTCTGGGATCAAACCCCTCTGTCTCATCTTGTTATAAAGACTCAACCCCACATCTTCAAGCCCCTTTTGCACATACCCTGCAATTATTGAGTTCCATGAAACCAAGCTTTTCTCAAGCAACATATCAAGCAGAATATGGGCAGTCCTTAAATCCCCTGATTTTGCATACAAAATCAACAACTTGGTCTTCAAATATTCATTGAGAACAAATCCCACAACAATCATATGTGCATGGATTCTTTTCCCCTTCTTATACTCTTTCCTAAATATGCATTCTTGCAATAGAAGAGCATAGGTGGCGGGGTTGAACTCTAACCCTGTGCGGCACAATAGCGCAACGGCTTCTGCCAATCTTCCTGAATAGCAGAGTCCCCTTAGTGTTTTATCCAGTTGGATGTGCTTTTGAGGCTTGACCTGAAAGCTGGAATATCTTATTGGTGATATATGTACTCCAATGAATAGACCCGAGACAACAGTACAAGACGCAGAAACTGAATGTTCACCCCGTTACATGACCACCCAAACATTCAAAATCTTAACACCCACTCAAATAGTCTCATCAGCAGCACAAATGAAATTTCGTATCTTTATTTATATTAAACATAAAATTTCAAACTTCGAAACTAGAAGATGCAACAGAATAAGTGGGGGAGTCAAACCTGCCATCGCCTCTCTCGGACTGAACTTTACGAAGAAGCGTGGTGGTCTTTCCGGCGAACATGGGGCCGACGATGACGTGAATCTCACCGAAGCGCTGGTGAGATTCTGCATCCATTTGCACACATCGGATGTTCTGAGCTGAAGAAATGGAGCTTTTGGGGAGAAAAATATTGGGTTTTGGGAGGAGAATATTGGGGTTCTGGAAAAGAGTAGGAGGGCTGAAGGAGAAGGACTTGGAGGAGGAGGCTAAAGATAAAGGTATGGTCTTTGAGATGTGAGGGACGGAGGAGATGAGGAGGGCCTTCATTCTTGATCCTGAAATACCTAACATCTACTTTGCTCTTTGGTCTTTGTCTTTGCGGGGAGAGAGAGAGGGTTTAAGGGTTTTGCTTATTTCAATTTTCTTCGAGAAAAAAAAGAAACCGCGGCACTGGGACTGCCGGAAGACTTATTTGGAGGGCAGGGAACCAATAAAGTGCGTGGACCCTTAGAGCAACTCCACCCCTAAAGACTTTGCGCAAGTTTCAGCTTATTTATCCACTTCAATGAACAGTAATAAACCCTAATGAACAGTAATAGACCAAAGCATCTCCACCCCTAACAAAAAATAGACTAGTCAATTTCATTAAAATTTTATTATTTTTTATTAAAATGGTCCTCTTATTTTTTATTTTTTATTACAATGGTCCTCCTCTTCCTTCACAGCTTCCCCTTCTGCTTCTTCCGCCTCCACCTCTTCCTTCTTCGCCTGCCCTTTCTTCTTCTGAGCTCCCTTGACCTTCTTCCTCGCTGGCGCTACGGGTCACCAGCTTGATTTCGTCGGCGCCACCAACTGCTTTTCTTCTTGCTCAGTCGTCTTGCGTTTTCTCGGCACCATTCCCACAAAATGCACGCTAATAGGCCGGTCCCTAGCTCTGTCAATTCTGGGCTGGCCTGGAAACCAGCTTGGGCTGGGTGCCAGACAATTGAACAAGCTGGAGCGGATTGACTGAATTCCGGCCCCTTTTTTTGACTGGGTGCCGGCCTAATGGTGTTCCGATGGAAGTGCTCTTAGCAAATTTGTCATATCATCGTTTTGGCGCACTATTTAACGACCGAAGTTTCCGTTCACGTATAATCGTATATGTATGGGGTAGCATTTTCTCCGTCCTAAAATTTCCTCTCCTCCAATTCTCTTTTATTTAAACAATTACGATTAAATCATGTCAACATCAGGTGTTAAATTTTTTTATAATGAGAAGAAAAAGAGAAAAGTGAGAGGAAATAAGGGAATTTGAAAATGAGAGAATCTCATTCTTATATATAATCCGATGCTATTAAGAACCATCTCATATAGTTTACAGAATTTGGTCTGAATAGTCGATCTCCCTATCATTACTACTTGTAAGTGTTGGACTACTAGGACTACATTTAGTCCTTCAAGACTGAAGTACCATTCCAATCATTAAGAACCACCTCATATAGTTTATATAATTTGGTCTAAATAGTCGATCTCCCTACCATTACTACTTTAAATGTTGGACTACTATGACTACGTTTAGTCCTCCAAACGTAGCATTAATATTTTAAGAACTATTTTAGGGCTAAAATTTTTTCATCTCAATCAAGCGCTATATTTTATTTCCCTTCATACTTTATTACTATTTGGGGCTACATGCTAGCTTTCTTAGGGGACAAACTTAGCCTGATTCTCTTTACCTCTTTGGTTGATGACTAATTTTGTTAATTGTAGAGCTAAATTTGCATTCAAAGCTTTCTCCATACAAACACAAACTCTAGATACCCAAACCAAATTTTGGATTAGAGATTTAGGTTGATTGGGTTCATTAGAAGTTATATCCTTCCTAGAAACATTTGGATTAGATATTCAGAGATGAGTTTTGACTCGGTTTAATAGAAACATAGAATGAAAATAAAAGATTAGTAAATCCAATAGCTGAAGGCACATTTTCTTTTAGGTGATGCATAGCATGAGCTCTTCCTTGCACTTCCTCTTTGACCTCTTTTACTCCCCTATCCCTTTCTTTAGGATAGGGGAGTTCTACGGAACTTCAATCATTTTGGAGATCTAACAGTTGGTCAGGAAACGGATAGCCCCCTTCATGTTTTCATGAGTACATAACAATCATGTAGTTGAAAACGTAAGTTTTTTATTGGCTAGTTTCCTATGAAAGGTATCCTCTCTGGATCCCTTCCTCCTAATCTACCAAGTTCGGAGATCTAGGCTATTGAAATTTGATCCAATAGCTACAAATAGGGACTCACTTTAAAAGTTATAATAACTTTAACCAGTTGGATCAAATTTCAATGCTTCGGATCCTCGGACTTCGTGGATTAGGAGGAAGGGATCCGGAGAGATCCCTTTCCAATTTCCTAGACCCGGTATAAACGAGTCTAGTATTTAGTAAAATTTGTCCGAGGTTCTAGGTCTATAGTTGCAGAAGACCTGGACTGCACTGAAAACACCTTGAAGAGCATAATTCATGGACTTGATACGGTAAGTACATCATGCCTTCACATAAGAAACTAATATGAAATCCTTGAATATCATTAGCATATGAAACCCGCAGTATGCTCCAAATCATGACATAATTCCAAGAGATTATTGGAATAAGGCAAGGGATCCCACCAATAGAACGCTATAATTGTTGTTCGGTGCTTCGAATCAAAAAGGTCTAATCCTAAATTTGCACCAGAGGCAATCTGCATCACCAATCTCTAGTTACAAAATCTTCAAAGTGTCTAGTATTGCAAAGAGATGTATTTTTATCGCAAACGTTCCCTGTTCAAGTATCACCAGCCCTCCTTCAACATTCGTTCCTTCTCTAGGATGAACATTCCTTCTTTATACTTTTCACTAGGTTCATAAGCCTTCTCCTGCGAGTATGACCATCAATACATGGGGGTGGAAAATGAAAAGCAGTTAGTTTAAACCAGAGCATTAACTTCATAAGAGATTGCTAAACATAAAGATTGGGCCACATGATCAGAAAGTACAACTTGATTATTTAGACAATACTTCAAAGACCTGACCACCCCCACGGTGAGGGCCTCACCAGGAACCAAACTGAAATCTAAAGTTTTGAATAAATGGGGGCAGTTTCATTAAGTAAATCACGGATCCTACAAATCTAACAGCAACCGATCACTTTAAAATTCATGGAGAGGGAGGACGCATGAATAAGTCCCAACCGCAGCATCACTAAGCCAAAGATGCTAATTTAATAGGAGTATATTACATTGGAAAACGATATTAACCCCCAACATATTTTCCAACTCTGAGGCATCAGCCATACTCACTTGACTTCTTGTGAGAGTGTTGAAAAGAATAGCATTTCTCAAATGGGTGTGCTATCCACACACCCATTTTTACCTCTCACACACCCCTCTCAATTTTCGGCTGATGGATCGAATGAATTGAAGAAGATCAACGGCCAAGAATTAACAAAGGCGTGTGAGAGGGAAAAAAGGGTGTGTGGATAGTACTACCATTTTCAATTACAATGAATATAAGTAGACATGGGTATGTATCATGCTTGTGATTCTATCCTTCTATGAAGTTCTACTATTCATGCATTATCATGTAACGAAACTTAAAAAGCGCGAGAAGTTTATTAAACTTACATATTTCCAACCCAGAATTTGTAGACAAGAGCTACAATGTATGTCATTCACCGTATGCAATCCGCTCGTGAGTTGCCGCTCTTCAATAGGCCCAAGAGCTATATTTACCCTGAAAAAGCAAATGATCAACGACCACAAGAAAACTAAGAAATTTTCCTTTGTTCATATCAAAAGCATTAAGCCCAAATCATATCATACCACAAGCTTAACCACTTTGGTAAGAAAGAGCACATCAATTCGACATTTTCACGCACACGATTTTAACTACCAAATTACTCAAATTATGAAATAACATTTACGCAATTGGTTCCACAAAAATTAATACCGTGATAATCGTCAATTGTGAATGCTTTAATTCAAGAAACAAGAATTTGAAACGAAATAAAAAACCCTAGAGTGATATTACAGGAAATGAGGGTTTGAATTTCGGGGCTTACACATTTCTGAAGAGATAGGCTCTGCCATGGCGGCCCTGAAAATCCTTGGAAACGATGTCGTCGTGGGACGCAAAGTCCACCTTGCAACACCTGCACCTGAAGATCCTGGGCCCACTCAGCGTCTCTATGAACAGCCGCCCCATGCTTATTTGAATGAATTTTTCTCTTCTGATATTACGGAGTGAACCCTAATTTCCAAATTGATTGCACAATCGAAACGCACAAACAAAATATATTTGATCCGTTTCCGTCGGAGAAAATGAGTAAATTGGTGTTTGTGGGGATTCGGAAGTGAAAAATTAGATGGACCGGGAACGTCGTAATATAGGGGCATTTATGTCATCGGACATTTTTCATGAGTGGCTGTGTCATGGGATGGGATGGTTCCCTTCAATCCGATTTTTTTTTTGAGTCCACCCAAAAACATCATGTCGATTGAGATCATCGACTGGTAGTTAGGACAATACGATTTTTGCCTCAAATTTGGACGGACCATGGCGGTAGTCTTCCTAATTAACTGTATAATAGATTTGACATAACACCACCAAATTCGCCATGCGGGATTTCGACCATCAGATCGTTTGTTGCGAATTTAATGATCGTGATATGACGGTCAAAATTTTCATGTTTAAATTACGCCCAAGCATACTATGCCAACGGCCTTATTTGACTGCAATATTTCCAAAATATGAAAAAGAAGTATATCAATGGTTGCTCTTATTATAATATTGAGTCACAAGAAAAAACGGACATTAAAATTTAGGGGTCAAAAGGTGTCTTGGATCAGATTGGATAACTCATAACAGTCGGGGTATGTTGAAAGAAGTTACTGATTTTTTATTTTGAGGGGAACTCCATACCTTGTGGACGGTGAATTATCCAACCCAATTCAATTCTAGGCACCAAAAGAGCCTTTTAGGACAAGAAAACAAACCTAGGCAAGCCAGATGGAGAGGAACAACATCTTATCTTGAAAATAAGGAACCAATAAATGAAAAAAAACAAAGAAACTGGTTAAGTGCAGTGCATCGAATACTGAATTTTGAACAATGTATAAGCCTTTCTAATCCAACTTTCAGGTGATTTACATCTTCTACCTCAATTTCTTATCTTCAACCGATTGAGTGAACGCAAGGAACGTTAGTGGGAACAAAATAAAAAGAGAGAGAGAGAGAGAGAGAAGAGGCTTGTCGGGACCTGCCAAAAAGATCCATCCACACCTCATGTGTTGTGTATCCCTATGATGAACAGCACCCACCTTTTTTAGGCTCTGCTGCAGCTGCTTCTTGGCTCCCGTCTTGTAAAACCACCGTCTTCCCATTCCCTACCCAACTGGGGTCCTGTTTCTTGAGCTCCTGAGATATCATAACTTTGCGGCTTAGTATGTTATAGATCTCTTTCACGACCATCTGAAAAGCGGCAGAGACATTGGACGAATCTAGAGCAGATGTTTCCATGAAAAACAAACCCTGTGCTTCTGCCAAGGCTTTACCCTCAGAAGTGGGTACCTCCCTGGCATCCTTGAGATCGGACTTGTTGCCAACAAGTATCGTAACTACGTTCATGTCAGAGTGAGCTGTTCAACAGTATATCCACCTGATCAATCCTCGGTTCATCACATTAATTAAGTACAAATGCAAGAAATCTTTTGAATCCACAGGGGTACAGGAAGAACAGATTGACTATTGAATCAATATTAAAAGCCACTACATCATTTAAAATGGAGCATTTGACAAAGAATGTAACAGTGTAAAATATAGTTTGAACGCATAAAAAGGATATTCTCAGCAGATGCCCATAAATGGTGAGGATGAAACATTCATCATCCTATTTTTGTAAAGAAAGTCATTACTTCTCTAACCAAATCCCTACAGCATAAAGCATCACCATCATTTCCTCTAAAAATTTAAACATTTTAAAGGCTAACAATTCATACATACCATACATTAGCATGTGCGATTCTTAATTGAGATTATTTAGAAGGCAAGCCAAATATTGCATAATGTTGACAAAAAGTCTCCACTTGACCAAGAAAACAGCCCCAGAAGAAAAACATATTTGAAAAGAAAAATTATAAGTAAAAATTCTACAGATACCGTCAAAGAACTTACTGTGGAGTTCGTTAAGCCATCTGCCAATACTATCAAATGTCTGGCGTCTACTGATATCATATACCAGAAGAGCACCAACAGCACCTCTGTAATATGCAGATGTGACAGCCCTGAACCGCTCTTGACCAGCTGTGTCCCATATCTGTGCTTTGACCTCCTTACCATTGATATCTATCTTTTGGGTTTGGAACTCTACTCCTATAGTTGACTTCGAATTAGGGTAGAACTCATCTCTAGCAAATCTTGCAAGCAAATTGGATTTTCCAACGGCTGAATCACCAATTAAAACAATCTTGAATAGATAATCCTCGGTCTTTTCCTCTTCCGAATGAAAAGCCATTGCCCAAACTCCACAGATTTGTTACGCTAATGAACCATTCTAATAATGAATAGCCAGGGTCGATCTTTAAGGGACTAATAACCTACAAAATATCTACTTTTCCCTGTTCAAACGATCCTCTGTACAAAAAGAAAAACAGTTGGCGGGTGAAATGTGTAAGGCAGGGAAGGTATATAATGGAAAAAGGCTTTTCAGCAATACAGAATCTGAGACTTCCTTACAAAGCTAAGGTAGGATTACAGATAGTGGCCTCTATGCCTCCTCTTAGATGCTTTCTACATGCGTAAATCTATCTGGAAAGCTTTCTCCTTTTCAAATTACAATCTAGCCGCACAAAAAAAGTGCCAAATCCTGCGGCATCAAGAAAGCATCAGGAATTACAGACTTCTAACGATGAACTGGATTTGAAATGTTAGAGGCAAGTTATTCCACTGTAACGATTATTAGAAATGTGTTTGAGACTGCAATCTACATATGTACGCATTCTCCAAAGAATTTTACCCTCACACAGGCTAAAAGTAATACCTCAATGTCTTCTTTGACATTAATTTTGGCCTCCTCCCACTCCAGCTTTCCCTCTGAAGCCTAGAAATCAATGTCAATGGTTTACCTTATTCAGTTATTCTTATAAAAGAATGCACCATGAAGCAAGGCAATGATGATGAAACAACATGAAATTTGACATTTCAAGAAGCCCCCAATGCAAAACATTATCGTGTGATCAAACATAAAGGTCCACATAACGGCACGATTGAGAATATCAACTTTATAATTGCCATTAAACACTAAAAGACCCAACCCATGAAGTAAATTACTTAGTACCATCACGTTAATCTTCAAAGTCAATTATACAAAATGGGGACTCCAATTAAAACCACATTAATCAACTACTTTCTGAGCAAGCTAAATCGAATGATCTGATCCCTGTTCGCTCGAAAACAATCCTAAGTTCAGAGGGGCAATTTTACATGATTTTTTCCTTTTGGGGTAAGAATAAAGTTTCACAATTTAAAAAACAGCACGATCACTGTATAACTCAGACCCAATATTCGAATACAGGTGAAAAGTCAAGGGAGGTAAAAAAAATCATAGCTTTGACTGATTGAATCTCTATTAAAAATTTACCCAATTGAATATCATACTGTGGAAACCCAGTAACAATCACTTGTCATATACACCAAGCAGGTCCAAAATTCAATTGAAAACTAATAACTTGTACAGTACATTATTACATTTATCGGTAATAATATGCACGAAACAGAGAAAATTTGAATTTAAATCCAGACATTACCAGATTGCGGGGTCAGCAATGGATCAATAGCTTGGACGTATCCAGAACTGCAACAATCCATAAAAATACTTTTCACTATCAACCCAATACGCAAAACAATCCAAATGATAAATCAATGAATCGAAAATTTCAAAAATGCACGAAATCGAAAGTTGGAGATCCAAACGAGCTGTAACGCGTAAGGAATACAAATCCAAAATGTACAAGGTTGTGAGAGCGAGAGAGAGGGGGAGTGACCGTGGATGGTGTAATGGAAGGCAATAAGTGGTGGATATCGGCGGTGAACGACGGTGATAGGAGGGGGGACGGCCAGCGGAGAGAGGTGAGAGGACGAAAGGGCACAGAGAGAGCGTCAGAAGCACACATCGGACAAATAAGAGGGGGGACGAGGACGACGATATCTAAGGTAATTTCGCAATATGAATAAAAACATGAGGCCTTTCGTCTAAGCGTTGGAGTCCAACGTGAAAAGTTGAAAACAGAAACGGTAAAACAGTTAAATAGTTCAATGCTGGGCCAAGATAAAAAGATCTTTTGGATGACGTTTATTTTGGATTGAGGCCCAATCTGCAGACTGAACTACAGAGCGTCTACAGTGAGGGGATGTTGGGTAAGAGGTTTTGCCACGACAATCTACTCTTTCAAAGTCGAGAAGATTTATAGAGACATTTCAGCTTCTTTTGGCCATCATCATGTGATTCACAAAGAGTCAGGGATCGAACCTAAGACATGTTGTGTGAAGTACGAGTCTATAATTCGTCTCCAACTACTAGACTAGCTCGTGATGGTTTACTGACTCATGTTTCTGATAAATAGAAAAATATCTCCACCTCAAGCACATCAAAATTCGTTGCGGCTTGTCGCTACATTAAAGATGCATATATTAAATTGATATAAAATTTGTATTAAACCATGTTAACGTCAGATCGAATTTAAACAGACTGTGTCCTAAAGGTGGGCTAGCCTGACTCTCCACCTCTAGGAAAGAAATTTTCTTTGGTCATATTTGCGGTTATGAATCCAATTCTACGTAGCACTCAATTTTACGAGTGTTGTAGTTGTAATTTATTGAAATGTATAAGTGGTACAAACTATACCGCATCAAATGTAGCAAACGTAGCTTCTTGTTAAAATGGATTTGCCATGTAAACTTGACAAATATATGGAATGTCAACCAAACCAGACTATCGATTCGATATGGTGGGTCTTGACTCTTGAGAGCTAGCTAGGTACTCCTGCCCTCTTTTTTTTGGTTCTTGGCAACTTCTTTTTGCAAATCTTGCGCGTACCGCACGATCGTAATGATATATTCTATGAGGATTGGGCAACGTTTACGTGCGGGTATTGTTGGAAGTTCTTGGTACTGAATGTAGGATTAAATTATTTTTTTTCCTAAAGGTAGGCCAGCACAGTTTATCTTTTTAAGGTTTGGGAAGACTCGTACGGAAATTTCAACTTATTTTTAGTTATTATCAAGTGATTTACCAACACAAGCAATTGAACCTAGAACATACTATGTAAAATATTGGCATGAAATTCGCTCCTCAAGTATTGAGCCTTTCCGTGATGGTTCTTGCGGTAGTTCTTGGTTCTGCATGCATGGTTAGATATATATATATATTTTTTTTTTTATAAAAGTTTAAAAAAAAATTCTAAAAGAAGACTATCTAGTGTCTTTGTCACAAAAGTTCATTGTTTTGAGGTTCGAAATGGTTCACAAGTCATTTCAACTCCTCCTAGCCACACCAACATCGAAAAATCGAACCCAGAGCATACCACATGAAATATGAGTAAGAAATTCATTCTCTACTAAGTCAGGATAGTTCATGCCTAGTTAGATGAACCCCTTTTTTATGTTCACATTATAACATAACATTTAACATTTCTATAATCAATAATCAGTTGGGAGTAAGTCTTTATCCTAACTTTAATGCTTTATGCTAATGTCCAAATATACGATAGTGCCTTCCTTTTCTTTATTTGCGACAGATAAGTAATAATTGATTTACTTTGTATACGTGACGATTCAATACACGTTTTTGACATACAGTTTTTGTGAAGTCTAATTTGTGATCTATTTTAAAAATCCAACCATATGCATTTTTATCTTAATAACCTTTACACCTGATGTCGTGTTTTGAGTCCTTGTTTGTATTGAAAAAAAAAAAAAAAATTCTTTCATTCTTTCTTTGTCTCGAATTAAATCGCGCCTTAAAATTTGACTCACCATTTTTGTGCTGGAATTATGTTGACAACTTTGTGCTGGAAATGTATTAGAGAGACTAAACTTTTAGATAAAATTTATATTAAAAAAATAAACACGTTTATTAACGATTAAGTAATAATTCAATCATTAACTTATATATTATTTAATTTACAAAATTTTATCTATAAATTTAATCCTTATCGTTATCATGCTCTTTTTCCCTTATCCATTTGGAATCCTTTCCTAGTAGTTACTCTCACCAATCTCCACACTCTCACTCTTCCTTAAATGTCTTATGTTCTATTTGCATAGAAACTCTCAATCGAAACAAATAAAGGAATAGTTTACAAAATTAATTTATTTCAGTTACGTGTTTGGACGAATTTATTTCATTTAGAACAAAACCAAATTCTTAAATTTGCATTGTCAAACAAACTACAGGTCAATCTAGCGGTGGTGGACCGTTAGATTAAAATTTAGTCATCAAAATTCAAAAGTAGCCGGCAGAAGGAAGAACAAACTGGAAGAGCTCCACCGTAAGGCATACTGATACTAATACGGTAAGGGTTTCCTTCTTCTGTTGTTATTTGATTGTGTGTTGAAGAACCACCAAAGAGTTTGTATTTGGATTGAATATGTTCTGTTTCCTTGGTTTGTTTTATGGTATTAATTCGCTGCAAGAAAATTCAAAGGATTGGCCAGTGATTGAAAGCGTAATTCAGCTATGTTAACTGGCGTATGCGTTTCAGGGTTAGGATCACAAGGAAGAAGGAGTGAATGATATGGAGGGAGGAGGACACCCGCCTGCTAGCAAGACAGAGTTCACAGAGTGTTGGAGGACAACATGGAAGACGCCGTACATTATGCGTCTTGCTCTCTCTGCTGGCATTGGAGGCCTCCTTTTCGGATACGATACAGGTACATTAAATCATACATATCACAGTTAAAAACCAGAAATTACTTTAAATTAATTCCAAGGAAAAATTCATATGCACGATTCAATTTGTTAATTTTCTAGTATCTGTTGTTGGAGTATTTTAGGTGTGATTTCTGGTGCATTACTGTACATTCGCGAGGACTTTCACGAAGTCGACAAGAAAACATGGCTGCAAGTGAGTTAATCAACATTTCTTTCCTCATGTTAATTACTATTAGTCTGGTTAATTAAGCTCATATTTATATATATGTCAGCTAAATTTTTGTTATGTTTCATTGACATTGATATGCAGGAAACCATAGTGAGTATGGCAGTTGCAGGGGCAATCATTGGTGCTGCAATTGGCGGATGGATGAACGATGCCCTAGGCCGGAAAAAATCAATCCTAGCAGCAGATTTTGTGTTCTTCATTGGAGCAATAGTAATGGCTGTTGCACCAGCTCCGTGGGTGATCATAATTGGGAGAATTCTGGTCGGTTTGGGAGTTGGAATGGCTTCCATGACCTCGCCGCTCTACATCTCAGAAGCCTCTCCTGCTAGAATCCGAGGAGCCCTTGTCAGTACAAATGGTTTTCTTATCACTGGAGGACAGTTCTTGTCATACCTTATCAATCTTGCCTTCACTAAGGTACCAACTAATACATTTGAGGCTTTAGTTCAATAGCATTTTCAAGGTTTCAATTACCTTATCTCCAAATTTCGGCGTAATGAGTTGTTGTACATTGACTTGCTTCAGGCTCCAGGAACCTGGCGTTGGATGCTCGGCGTAGCAGGAGTTCCGGCTTTGGTACAATTTGTATTGATGTTGTCACTCCCAGAGTCTCCCAGGTGGCTCTACAGAGAGGTTATCTATAATCAAAGTCTTGCGTCCTTGTGTTTTTTGTAGATCATGGTCATAGTTATTCCAACATGTTGAAATTTTTACATCCATTAGTTTTTGGTAAGATCATTCAATTTCCGTGACATATATAATACCATACTAAGCATTTAATTTTTCTGCTAACCAGAATAAGGCAGATGAGGCTAGGGCCATCTTAGAGAAAATTTATCCTGCCGAAGAAGTTGAGCGTGAAATGCAAGCCTTGCATGAATCCGTCCAAGCTGAAAAGGCCGAGGACGGAGCTGCTGGAGAAGGTGTGCTAGCAAGGTTAAAGGGTGCCCTCAACAACCCCGTTGTCCGAAGAGGACTCTATGCAGGCATCACTGTCCAAGTGGCTCAACAGTTTGTCGGTATCAACACTGTCATGTACTACAGCCCAACTATTGTTCAGTTTGCTGGGTTTGCATCCAACCAGACTGCGTTGGCACTCTCTCTGATCACTTCAGGACTCAACGTGGTTGGCACTGTCATCAGCATGTGCTTCATAGATAGATATGGAAGGAGAAGGCTGATGATTATCTCCATGATTGGGATCATCACTTGCCTGGTGGTGTTATCCGGGGTGTTTTTCCAGGCAGCATCTCATGCTCCACGCATTAGTAACTTGGAATCCACACATTTTGGTGGCAATTCTACATGTTCAGCTTATGTTTCTGCTCCTAATCCTGGATCATGGAACTGCATGACATGTTTGAAAGCAGAGTGTGGATTCTGTGCTAATAAAGTTAATGTAAGTACACCTCATTTACTTTGGGGAAATGATATCCACACACACTTTTTTTCCCGTTTGTGCACACATATTTATTTATGTCTGTCAGAATTGCAGGGGAAGAAGGGGATGTGCGGAATTCACTTCCCTCTCTTCCCTTCCCGATTTCATTGTCATATAATTGTAAGAGTGACCTTATAAATTTACTTGTTTTCCTATTGTTGCAATTGTCAGTTTGCCCCGGGCGCTTGTTTGGCTTCCAATGACGAAATCAGGAGCTCATGTCGGGGAGAACATCGTGTGTGGTACACCAAAGGTTGTCCAAGCAAAGTCGGATTCTTTGCGGTGATCCTGTTGGGATTGTACATCATTGTCTATGCACCTGGAATGGGAACCGTGCCGTGGATCGTAAACTCGGAGATATACCCTCTGAAATACAGAGGGACATGTGGAGGAATTGCTGCAGTTGCGAATTGGAGTGCCAATCTCATTGTGAGTGAGACATTTCTGACCTTGACTCATGCTCTAGGTTCTGCCGGCACGTTCCTCCTCTTTGCTGGGTTTTCTGTCATTGGACTCGTAGCGATTTACATGCTGGTTCCTGAAACGAAAGGAATGCAGTTTGAGGAGGTTGAGAAGTTGCTTCAGAAAGGGTTTAGGCCCAAGCCATTTGCTCCAAAGAGCAAGGAAGTTGG